CACATGCAACAGGCTCTAGCAAGCCTGCCAGTCCCTCTCCTCTCCCCAGCCATCTTCCTGGAAGGAAGGAGTATGCCGGAGGCAGTGCTGCCCATTGCTTCTGGGGGTGAGAACGTGGTCTTGTCATCCACACTGAGATGCCAATGACCCTGATGCTGGAAGATCCTAGGGAGGACAAACCAGGAAGGGCACACAGACGGCTGCATTAAGGCCCTGTCCTTCCCCCTGCTATTAAGAGAGCTAATGCATGAAGAGAAGTGCTTTGGACAGAACCTGCACACAGGACCCACTTGCTTTTTTTTTTTTTTTGAGACAGAGCCTCGTTCTGTCACCCAGGCTGGAGTGCAGTGGCGCGATCTCGGCTCACTGCAACCTCTGCCTCCCGGGTTCAAGCGATTCTCGTGCCTCAGCCTCCCAAGTAGCTGGGATTACAGGTGCACACCACACCTGGCCAATTTTTGCATTTTTAGAGAGATGGGGTTTCACCATGTTGGCCAGGAAGGTCTCAAACTCCTGACTTCAGGTGATCCACCTGCCTTGGCCTCCCAAAGTGCTGGGATTACGGGTGTGGCCCGGCCCTGCTTTCTAAGTGCCGGCCAGCATCACCTTGTTTTCATTTCCGTATTATGATCATTATCACCAACATCTGTGGCAAGAGCACGTTCCTGATTCTGCACATAAGTGGGGTTTTTCCAGCGGGGATGTGGACTAAAAGAGTGGTCAGAGTCTTCACAGCTAATTAAATTGTTAGAAAACTTCCAAGCATCAGCTGTCACGATTTAGAAAATAGGACAGAAAAACCTTCTCCCTGACAAACACTGAACACCAATTGTATCCCAGCTCTGCAGTCTGGCCAGCCCCTCCAGATGGGGACAGGGACCACTCCCATGGGAGGCCGGGGGATCAAGACACATGCAACAGGCTCTAGCAAGCCTGCCAGTCCCTCTCCTCTCCCCAGCCATCTTCCTGGAAGGAAGGAGTATGCCGGAGGCAGTGCTGCCCATGTTTTAAATAGAAGAGATTTCGTGGAAATGGTAGCAATGGTGAAGGAGGGAGGTAAAGAGATCAGGAATCGGAGGGGAGAGAGCTGGGTCCATCCCTTCCATCAAACCCGCTCCAGATAAAGCTTAGAGGCTATCTCACATTTCAAAGGGCCTTTCTCAGTCGGCCCAGGGCAGAGCTGGGTTGTTTGTTTTTAAATGTTTATTTTCTAAGTGTCCTGTAAACCCCTGAAGGAAAGAGGGGCTGGGTGAGCACCGCCCACTCTGGCAGCAAGAGCTCAGTTTGCAAATCAAAGGACAGCTTCCCTCCTCCAGCCATAGCCTTCAGAGGGAACTGGCTTTGGAGGGAGGCTACAAGCCCATGCTGTCTGTGTCCAGAGGTCTGGGCCCCAGGGGCCGAGCGGGGCCGGGCCTCATCATCGGTCGGGCAGCCGCCCTCACCTCCCCATTTTTCAAAGGGGCTCTAGCGTAAAACCCAGCTCCCCAGATAAGGGGATATATGGTGCCTGTTTCCTCTCCTGAGGTTTCACCCAGTGGGGAAAAGCCTGGGAAAAAAGAACATGGCCTCTTTCCTAAATCAAAAGAAACATGAGTCTCCATCAGCCATGAAAGGAATGGCAAATGAAATACAAATGAGATGTCATTAAAACAAGAAAGGCCTAATGAATTCTCTTCCTGAAGCGGAGGCAAGGACCGGAAAAGACAGGGCTGTGTTTTGGCTCCAGAGAAACGGACTTGGGGCACCAGCCCAGCCCAGTCCAGCCCACTGGGGCTGGGGAGGGAGCCTTGAAGGGGTCTGCAGCCGTGTAATGGGATACCATCATCCTCATGTCACTCCTCGGCCCACGATCTACGACTCTGGATTAGCACAGAGGCCTGAGTCCCTCCTGAAAATCTTCCAGGAACAAACACCCCCAGGCACCAGGCTGCCCAGTCCACAGGCCCTGGAGGGTGGGCGTGGCTTGTACCCATGTCTGAGGCCCACCAGGTGTCTGAAAGTGCTCTTGCCCACATGACCCCCTGTGGCATAAGGGGACACTCACCCGGTTATCGCCTTCGGGGGCGAGAGGGTCTGTCATCCAGGATCCAAACCTCGAGCCGGAGGTCTTGACAGTCACGGGGTCACTGATGCCCGTCAACTTCCCGCAAGCTGGAAAAGAGCACGCAGGTCAGGAGAGGGAGGGCAGGGGCCCCGGCCCGCGGTGGTCACCCTGACCCCGACTGCCCAGAGCACACGTGCCATGCCGCGGCTTCTCCTCTTGCCCTCGGGGTCTGGGGTGCTGTGGAAAGATGCGCACGCCCTTGTTTTCACAGACAATTCCCCCCCCCGTCTCGGAAAGGCTACCTCCTCCCCAAAACAGAGCAGCTGTGGCCAGGATAGCAGGGAAAAGCCGTGAGCAGACAGCCGCCCTCCTGCGCTTTACCCCTCCTCAGCCTGCTGCACCCATGGCCTGGGGATGGGGGTGCCGGAGCAGCACCTCTAGGAGAGGGGTCAGCTCTTTCCAAGACTCAATTTTCTTCTCTTGGAAATGGGAACAGCAGCAGCTCCACCCCCAAGGGCATTAGACGTCATGCCCTGACAGCCCAGCCCGCGTGGGGCACAGTTAGCGCAGTGCGAGACACTGCATCCAGGCAGGCCCTGTCCCACCACGGAGCAGCAACACCACCAGCGGCCCCGGAACTGACCGGGACAAAGGCCATAGCGGCCTTCGCGCAGAAGGAGCCTGCGCGCTTCTCCCACGGGCCTGAGCCAGCTGCTTCTGCCTGTGGGAGGAGCCCAGGCTGGAGCGCTGGGATGTTGAGCACCAGGGTGGATGGGATCCTGGATGTGACCTCAGCAGCCCTCCGTCTCACAGAGGACCGTGGAGGTGAGGAGGGACACACCCGGGCCACCCGGTGATTCGGGTTGAGGCTGGAGCCCCCCACACCCCTGAGGGCTCAGGGCGGCTTCCACACCCACTGCACAGGAACACAACTCCTCCTGCCCGCAGGCCGGCGTGTCTGCACAGCCATGCAGCTCTTCCACAACGCACGAGCCTCAGCCGCCCTCTGAAGGCCCAAATGCTCCTGATTCTAGCAGGGACCCTGGATGGGAAGTGGTTGGTTTCCCTGCAGAGGGTAGAGGAAGGGCCCCTCGGCCACAAGGCCCGGCACCCTGCCCTGACCCTCCCGGCCAAGCCCGCCTGTGACCTCCTAGGTCTGCGTGGCACCCTCGGTGGGCTTGCTCGAGCACATGAGTCCAGAGGCCATCCATGTGTGGGGGAAGACTGCGGGCGAGTGCGTCTGGACCTCGGCTCAGCCAGGATAATCCCGCAGGCAAGCAGGGTGGGACAGGCTCCAGGCTGGTACCCGGGAGGGCACAGCCCTGCCACTCCCATGCTCAGCGCAGGTCTTGGGGTGCCTCCCACTCTCTCTCAACTGGAAGTGGCGAGTGTGCCTGTTATTGGCATCACACAAGACCAGAAAGAGGAACGCTCCCAGCCCCGCCGGTGTGGAGGTGTCGCCGATACCGTGGGTTGGTGGGAGAGCGCGCATCCAGGCAACAGGGGCTTTCAGAGGGACAAGGAGCCCACTGCCGGCAGAAAAAGACTGGGTTTGTCCCCAGATTCCCATCGAGTCGGGCTGCACTGTTCCGAGGCCCTGGCAACCTGGCTCCTGGCCCACCACCTCTGCCCCGATTGGAAGAAGAAATGTCACAGCCCTTCTTTCCCCTCCTCCTCCGTGCTTATTCCCCTGTTTCCACTTTCAGAAGGTATTATGTGCTTTCCCAAGTAAATATTGTCCCCTCATGGCTGGAGGCTTTCCAGCAGTGGGGCCGGGTGAGAGGCTGCCAGGGTCTGCTCGGCCGTAGTCCACGTGGGCTCCGGGCCAGGGCTGTGCCTCCCATCTGTGGGAGGAGAAGCAGCAGAAGAAAGGGACGGAGAGGAGATGGCCACAGCTGACCGACGTCTATGGGGACAAGAAGTAAGAAGATGTGGGGGGTCTGAGAAGTGTCACTAGAGGCTCCTCTTCCAGGAGAGTCCAGCCCAGCTTTTCACCCCAGTGCAACTCGTGGGCGGGGAAGGGGAGCTCAGGGTGGCTTCACTAAGGCCCTGGAGGAGTGTGAGGCAGGAGGTGGGAGGCAGGAGCCATGGCTGGGCTCACCCCTCACCCTCCGGCTGCTGAGGGGCCCTGGGCTTCGGGGGAGACAGCAGCTCCCTCTGCACTGGGTGGGTGCTGGGAGAAGCCCTTCACAGCCCCTCTCCAGTCCTCCCTGCCATCCAGAGGCCGGTGTCCCCTAAGACAGTGCTGTGGCCCTGGGAACGTCCCGTGAGAGCTCTCCACACCGTGGTTCTGCTAGTGGTCCGGAAGGAGAAGCCTAGAGGGGTGGTGGCCCCACGCTGGGTTTTCCATCCAGCAGTGCACGTGGGCTCTGGCCACTTCAGCCTCCTCAGTCAACACGCCGGGCCTTCCGTGACGCTGGCCCACATGAACGCCCGGAACCACACCCGCAGTAGGCTCGTCCCGGTCGCATGACCTCCCAGAAGGAGACCAGGTGTCTGCCCTCCACCTCGCAGGCAGCCAGCAGAGGCCAGAGGCAGCAAGTCAGTGCCGGGCTCTGCTCCGCCGCCTGGCCCGAGCCCCTCCCTGCTGGTTCACGCAGCTTTGTTCCAGCTGTCCCTCCACCTGGCGGGCCGGCCCCAGCCCCGCCTTCCCACCCACCTTCACTGGCTTGCCCCAAACGGACACCTCTGCCCTAAAGACGTGCCCCTCCTCCACTCTGCCTGGCCTGCCTGTCCTCACGGGAGCCGGAGCCAGCTTCCCACCGTACATCTCGGGGGGCTGCCGAGGAATGTCTGGGTCTTGCCGCCCCAGGGAAGAAACTTCCTGCACTCACCCTGTTTCCTCCAAAACGCAGCCTGGGGATTTGTATGGAATGAATGAATGAATGAATGAATGAATGAATGGCTCATTGCTCAGAAAAGCCTCCTGAGTTGAAGGCTTCACTCTCCATCTCAGTGGAGGAGACAGTGGGGAGGGAGGGTGACCCTCTTCCCTGGAGGATGCTCTGTAACCCCCTCTTCTCCTTATCTACAGATGGGGTAATAACAACAGCGCCTCCTCGGAAGGCTGCTGTGAGAATTAGGGGAGGGACCACCAGAGAGCTTTTGGGACAGCACCTGCCACAGAGTCAGAGCTCCACAGAGGTCAGGAGGCATCACTGGGGATTCAGACTGAGGATGTGCGGAGAAGGTGAGCCCAGGTCAATGTGGTCTTCACCCCTCCCACTTCATCCCGCAAACCCTGCACCTGGCAGGTCTGCTCTCCAGAAGATGGCTCTGCCCCAGGCCCACCCTGCCCGGGTCAAGGGCTCCCTCCTCCCTCCCGCATGGGCCCCACTGGCTCAGAGCTGAGCATCACCCTCTCCAGCACCCTCTTTTAAATGCAAAAGTGACCCCTTGAAATGAGCCTTAAAATCCTGGCTTAGCGAGGGCGGGGAAGGGTGAGGCTGGCTCTGCACTCTGCTCTTCCAACTGCTGGCTGCATGCACAGCTCCCAGGGCCCTCGGGGCTGGAGGCCACCTGCCCTCCTTGAGTCAGGGAGTTATTTTTGGTTCTCCATCCAGACCGCTTCTGCCAAGACCTCAGGAACTGACAGGATCTAAAAAAGCCCATGGCAGAGCCTCAGCGGCATCTTGGCACATCCAGTTCAGGAAAGCGTCCCTCGCCAGTCACGAGCACTCAGGATGCACGCACAAGGAGGGAAGAGGAGGGGAGAGGCAGGAGAGGGCTGGCTGGGCTTCCTGCACTGCTGGAGGCTCAGGAAATGGCCCAAACGGGCTCTGTCTCCTAGGAAGGCCTAGGCTGGGAGGGCCGGCATGCTCAGCTGGAGGGGCAGGCCGCCCGAGGGTCCCCAGACGGGCTTAGAAGGCAGGGCGCTGTGCAAGGCCGGGAGCCTGGACAAGCCGATGCCCCTGCGGATGAGACAATCTGCCTCTTGCTATTCCCAGGAGGAGGCTACTTGTGAGCAGCAGCCTGGATGATCTCATAGAACAGGCCCGGGGAGATGCCCGCCGAGGACCTCAGGCCAGAGACAGAGGGGTCTCTGGGCAACCCCGGAGACAGGTCAGGAGGGCTGAGTGCCCTGAAGCAGGCAGACGGGGTTCCTGGCCTGCCGCCTGTCCTGTGAGTCTATCCTCCCTGGTCCCAGCTTTTATCCCCCGCAATCCGGGAAGACTTAAGCTGGAAGAAGTCTGCAAAGCTGGGAACCTGGACAAACCAATGTCCAAGATACAGATGAAAGAAGCTGAGAACCATGCAGCATCCCGGCCAGGCCTCGAGACCAGACCCAGGGCCTGGGCTGGGGTGGCCACTGAGAAAAGAGTCACGGCAGACCCTTCCCCTCACACGGCAGGGAAGGGCGGGCCTCCAGGAGACTGTCACCGCCTGTCATCTGGAGAACTTCCTGGGAAGAGCCACGGCCGCCCGGGGCCCCACTCGGTCAGTGCTTCTGAGCGGCTTTTTAGATTTCGGTTTATTTCCTCTCCCGTCATTCTAGTGGGTTTTCTTTCAGAATCCACTGGCAAGGGCTTAACTCTCTATCCTTGAACGCACCATGTGTGCCGGTGACAGTGGCTCACTGTCTAGCTCCACTCAGGGCCGGGGGCAGGAGGAGACAGATGCTCTCTCTGCCTGGCTGACCCTTTCTCACATCTCGGGGTCAGGGAACAAGAGGGAGGCTTCAGATTCCTCTCCCCCAGGACAGAGTGTAGAACATGGTGCCAGAGCCAAGCCCCAGGCCCTGACAGCCCAAGCTGGGATGGGGGCCTGCAACTGGACTTGCATCAACCTAGATACCCAGGCAGGCCCGGCTCCCAGCGGCTGGCAGGGGACTCTGACGCTGGAGCCAGTGGGCTTTGTTAAGATGCGTTCCAGTGAAACAAAAAGACCCGATTGACCCTGAAGCCCGGGCTCTGTCTGTGCTTATGGGTGTCTAGGGGCTTCCTCCTCACCCTTTGGGGAAAAAAGAAACGAAGGAAGCCTTTAGCACCAGAGTGCCAGGATGGTATATCTGGGAGGAGCCCTTCCAATCAGCTGGTCCCCTCATTTATAGAGAGGACCACGGAGGCCTGAAGCCGACACAGCCCGGGAGCTCCATGGGTAGAGCTGTGTCGTGCACTGACCCTCTCTTTTGGCTTCGCTTAGCTTCACTGCTGGGGCATCTGACTCTGCAGGCTCCCCTGGAGAGAGGGCCCCAAGCCCAGCTTAGGGGACGAGGCCAGGGGTACGTGGCAGCACTGCCTCTCCCCTTGCCCTGCAACAAGACTTGCTCCAGGAGAACCGACCAACTGCCTCCCTTCCAGAGGATGCCTGAGAGGAGAGGTTCAGATTCCAGTTTCCGGCTGGGCCATTAGGAAAATTATATCATGCCATCAAAAGAGGGATCTTCAGAATTGGAAACGGAAAGCTGATGGAGCCCTGGTCCTTGTTTTCTCTGTTTCTGAGTATGTTCTGGGGTCAGGAATTGTCAGCAACAGGGACCTGAAGAAGGCAGCAGCAAGGAGGGAGCTATCAGGAAGACTTTGGGAGAGCCTCTCCTCCAGGCTTACCGCAGGAAGGGAACCGGGACCCTGTCCACTAGACCATGGAACCTGCAGTCAGACTTCACACCAGCAGGTGCAGCAGGCACACCAAGAAACTGCAGGGTCCAGGACGGAGGAGGAAACTGCCCACTACTGGATGCCACGTCTCACAGAAGCTCTGCCCACCCAGGATGGCCGGCAGCTTGCGCTGGCTCCACCTTGCAGAAGGCGGGTCTCCTCGGCAACCTCCCAGCAAGGAAACAGGCTGCCAGGGTGGTCCTGAGGCGGGTGCCTATTTGCAAGGCTAAAATGAAGCTAAATTAAGCAGCTGCAGGATATTAATTTGGCGCTTAAGTTACTGAGCTTGAAGGAAAGCCTGGGAAGAGGGAGGAGGAAGATCAGCAGCTGCTAAATCTTTCTATCTGTGTCTGTCAATCATCTGTCAGTCAATCAATCATTTATCTACCTACCTACCCAGTCATCAGTCAGCTATCATCACCTCTCTATCCATCGACCTACCTGCCTACCAGCACCTCCTCTGCTGGGCACAGTGCTGAGCTCAGAATCTGAAGGACTTCCATGAATTATCATTCTATGAATTACCCCGGAGCTCAGGGACTCCCTGCACCATTTTACAGATGAGGAGGCAGCTGAAACTCGAGAGGGTAAATGCCTTGGGGGAGTCGCACAGCTATGGAGTGGCGCTTACTACCTTACAGAGCTGCCTCCTCTACGGGGGGAGCTCAGTTTGCTGTGTCAAGATGAGTCAGGTGCTGGCTACAGGCAGATGCCAGGGCCCCACCTGCAGAAGTTCTGACTCAGCAGCTCTGCCTACGTGTCGCAGCCCTTCCAAAGAAAGAATGAAACGCAGAGGTGAAACCAGGCAGCCGCACTCCAAAGGTGGGAAAACGAGGGCCTCTGGAGGCCTATGAACCCTCTCTCTTTACTCCCAAATCAATGGTGTTAGCAGCCCAAGGACAGCCATGTGATCTCCTTCACAAGACCCAGGATTTGAAGCTACAAGGTAAACTCACCCAGCTACTAAAAATAGGCCAAGCACAGATGGGAAGGCCAGCTCATCCGGGAGGGGTGGTGCCCCCTCGGAAAGGCCCTTGGCTTCTCACTATTTGCAACTTTTTACTCCAAATCCCTACTTTGCTTCCTGGATTCCTTGATTGGAAAATGTGGAGGTTTTTTCTGGGTTTCTCCGTGATGTGCCCTGTCTATTCCAGGAAGGAAAAGACACTGCTTGTGGGGAAATACACAACAACAACAAAAAGATCCTGCCACTGGATACTTGGGAGGCCAAGGGAGACCCCATCCGTGGGAGTGTTTGGAGGTCCCGGAGAAAGGGGCAATGGTGAGGTCATTCAAGGTCATGATGGGGAGAAAGCCAAAGATAGTACCCAATGGAAACAGTCATACAGCCTCATGATCGTTCATACAGCTCTATCATCATCAACATTCCCACAACTCCTAGAAAATCAAATTGGGAAGCCATGGTAGAGGCCATCTGGCCCAGACGCCCCTCCTGGGACTGTCTGAGGTCACCCAGCCACTATCACACCAGGGCTGGGCACCATGGAGCCCGGAGCCGAAAGAATGCAGTTAGCAGCCCCCATGGGACACAGCCAGCGTGCACTCATCAAAATGGATTAGTTCTCCAACCCCCAGCATTTCTCATCGTCTCTGTTTCCGGACTGGGGAACTTGAGGCTCTGTGTGTTCACTGAGAACACCCAGAACAGCATTTAAAAATCACCTAAAGTGGGAACCTGGGGAAACAAGGGTTTGGCTGACTCTTTTCTTTCCCGTTGAATATTCTCTCTCTTCACCTGACTAACAACACTAGATTTTTCTTTCAAGTGTTGTTTGTGGATGTTTTAGGTTTATCATAAGGCACTTGGAGTGTGTGTGTGTGGAAAGGAGAGTAGAAATAAAAAGGTAACCAAGTTAGAACATCAGAGAAAGCCTGAGATAAACTTCCTAAGGCAAAATCACCCTAAAATTACCCTACGTTACCCTAAAAAGTAGGTAGTATGAAAACAACAACCTTTGTGTTATTAAAAAAAAATAAACAGCTTGGTGAGGACAGATGGTTAATATTTCTTAAGAAAAACTAGAAGTGGAATTGGGATTTGAAATGTGCTATTTAAAAGCAGACTCAGACACTAATGTGTTAAGATTTCTCCTAGTGATTAACTGGAGAGTTGGTAAGGTGAATGGGTAATCAATCAGAAATAAGAATCCAAATGGGTCACCCCACACTGGGAGTTTTTCTTTGGAAACATACCGAGGAAGGGGCTCATTTGCTCAGAGGCTCCTCCCCTGCCAGGCTGTGAGCAGGGGCTCCCTCCCGTGCTGTGAATGGCAGCTCTCCTGTGATGTGATTGAATTTTGCTCCCTTTTTTATTCCAACTATGCATGATTCAATATTTCAGGAGCTCCACCAGCCCCCGTTCTCAATCCAGAGGAATCTGAGATGTGTATTTCCAGCCCTATGAAACTGATGTCTTCAATGCACACACACATACAGTACGCACACGCACACACAGTCCGCCAGATGGTATGCTATTTTTTTCCAGATGTGTGACTCAGCGGGGTCTGTGGCCTCTGCACAAGACCCAGCTCTGAACAATGCCCTAGGATGGGTGCGGCCTACACTCCTCCTTTGCTGTCTCTCAAGATAGCCCTGCCCAGGAGCCCTAATCCAGCCATCACCTCGCGAACCTCAGCACCACTCCCTAAGCCTGTGCGTGTGCCGGAGGTGGGCAGTGCAGCGCCACGTCCCGCAGGGTTCTGAGCCTACCTAGTTTTTGCATGCATGCACGGAGCCTTTCTTCAAGATTGGACACTCTGCTCTGAAGTTCATCGTAGTCATAGGCGCCAATTTCCTCTTGCAGCTCGTTAAGGACTGACGTCAGATTCTGGACCTCCTCTTTAAACTGCAATACCAATTTGGCATCGGCCTTGTACTCTTCCAACACAGGTATCAAAGGCCTAAGTTCATCCATTTTCGCTTTTATCGCCTGTAAGGTTAAAATAAGCTAGTTCAGTGCGATGCATGCAAGAACTCTCGCCCCCTGCCTTGGCCTGGCTTCTCTCTAGGTGAGGGAACGTGTGTCTATTCCCGCTTTATTTACAGGCTTATTTATTCTGGTCCAAATGAGTTAGAAGAGCATATTAAACAGTCCTCAGAACACCAACATATTTGGGAAAGGTCTTTATTGTCAGTTTAGAGTGCAACATCTTAAGGTTACATGCTTTTGAGTCACATACACGAAGTTTTTGTTTCTTTCTTTCTTTTTCAAAAAATGCATTGACAAGGGTTCAAACTATTCATGAAATGCAGCTACAGTCGCATGCAAAGGAGGATCCTGGTTGTATTCAAGGTTCCTTAGTGAAATGGTGCTAAGTATTGGAAAATAATAGTAAAAATGCATGGTGCAAAAAGCTCTCTGGCTCTCTTTCATGGTTACATGGGAGTGGACTGCTTCTTCAGTCACTGCAGCATTGAAAAAACTCTTTTAAGTTAGCCCTGCAAGTAAGAAAACGAAATACCGTTGAAGAACTAGCTCACTAGCCTGCCTGAAACAGACAGCCATCAGGAAACACATATTGACATGGTCGTTCAGAAAAAGCCCGCTGTAATGCTCGAGTTAGTCAAAACCAACTGCTTGAAGAGTTATTGAGATCCCCTCATCACAATGTCTGCCGGAATTTCTTTTAATGCAGTTTAGCACAGTCAAGGCAAGCGCTTGCTTTTCTTCCCCCAAAGCCACAGCACCCCAAAATTGGAAACTTGCAGAGATGCCTGTGTCAACCACGTTTGCCAAGACGGGCTACCTCCCAGTTGCTGACGACACCCCCATCGTTAGAGGAGTCTGCCGGAAGCAGAGAAGGGAGTGCTGGCTCAGAGACGGAAATGCTTTCTGGTCAGACAGGTCAACATCTCTCTTTCCAGAGTAATTCATGATGACCAGCCAGATGCAAGGACAAAATGTCCACCTGCCTCTGCTGAGCGCAATCAGCTCGTTTCACCTCAACAGGATTGGGCCTGCTATTATTGTATTTATCATATAGATTTATAACTTCATTAGCTTGCCATTTCATCTATTTCATGTATCGTTTTAAAAAGAGAATTAGTTCTTGCCTCATGCAGGGAGCACATCAAAGAAAAACATTAGCATAAAAAGCACGGGAAGACAGAGACAGAGCACATCAGCAGTTTCCAGTCGGGTGAGGGTGTGTCACTGGACCTGTTCATTTACATCTGGGCTGGATCTCTAATTAAAATGCATGTATACCTTAATTAAGGTGGCAGATAACGTTTCAGTCGAATTATACTGAGATGGAGTCAACTGTGGGCATAGCTCTACCTGGCTGCACATATGCATCTATGATTTTAGGTCAAACAAACAGCAGTTTTAACGTCCAGAGTGACCCGGAGAAGCAGAATGCTTCCCACGACACGGAAAGGAGGCTGGCGTCTCTTTTTCCCTGCACGTCTATGGCATGCCTTGTCATGGCTAGATTAGGTCAGATGTGAAAAACTGCCCTGAGAGATTCCTGCTCCGGAATGGCTCTCATCCATTCAGCTAATCCTTGGCTAATGTGATTTACCTGCAGCAGCTACAGAATGACTAGGGCCAGTAACGATGTCCCTTCCCAGCTAATATTCGACTTGGCTTGGGCAGCACAGGACTCAGACCCCGGGCTTCCAAACCACACTGACGGGGGCTTGGGGGCGAGTGTGTGATGCTGCTGCTGCCACTCAGGCCACCCCTGCCAAGATGGCTTCTGCCAAACCAGGGCCAGTGGTGGCCTCCCTACTGCCAAGGGCAACAGTCCTTTCAAGGCACAGAGCAACCTTTGCTGTGCTTCTCCCTGCCCCAAATGACCATTTCTGTAGGGAAAGGCAAAGCATGAAGGGAAAGCACACCCAGCCTCAGAGGACGAGAAGGAGGAGAGGGAGGAGGAGGAGGAGGATGAAGAGGGGGAGGAGGAGGGGGAGGAGGAGGAGGAGGAGGAGGAGGAGGAGGGGGAGAAGGAGAAAGGGGGAAGGAAAGGAGGAGAGAGGAAGGAAGGAGGAGGAGGAAAAGGGAGGAGGAAGGAGAGGGGGAGGGGGATGAGGAGGAGAAAAGGGAGGAAGAGAAGGAGAGAGAGGAGGGGGAGGTAAAGGGGCAAGGGGGAAGAGGAGAGGGGAGGAAGAGAAGGAAGAGAAGGAGGAAGTGGGGAGGAGAAGGAAGGGGAAGAAGAGGAGGAGGAGAGGGAGGAGGGAGGAAGGGGGAAGAGAAAGGGAGAAAAGAAGGGAGAGGGGGAGAAGGAGAAGGAGGACGAGAAGAGAAGGGAAGAGGAAGGAGGGGAAGGAAGAGGGGGAGGAAGAGGAGGGGAAGAGGAAGGAGAGGAAGGAGAGGAAGGAGGAGGAGGAGGAGGAAGAGGAGGGGAAGAGGAGGGAGGGGAAGGAGGAAGAGGAGAGGAGGGAGGAGAGAGGGGAAGGAGGAAGAAGAGGAGGAGGAGGAGTGAGGAGGAGGAGGAGTAGGAGAGGGAGGAGGGAGGGAAAGGAGGAGGAGGGAGAGGAGAGAGGGGAAG